GCAGCATATTCTTTTTCTAATTTTTTTAATTTTTTAATTTTATTTTGAAAACTGGAAGTGGGGGCGGGGCTTCCGCTGAAGGGAGCGGGGCGTATACCAGAAGTGGGCGGGGCTTATGGGGGCGGGGCTTCCGTTGGAAGGGGGCGGGGCTTATATGTGTGACCTGTCACTTTTCCATGCATACTAATGAGACGAACGTGGCATGTGTATAACTACTGACGCTGACCTGCACCCAGAACCGCTACTTCCTATACACAGCGGGGAAGAACGCGTCGAGGAACCTTGCCTCCGCCCTGAGGTTGGCATGGGCTGATGTGGGACTAAAAGGTCCAATTAACTTCACCGACCTCTGCACAGTCCACGCAGATAATGCGAAGAGGTTTCAGGACATAGGTAACCGCCAAAGAGTGAGTGATTTCATGTGTCACAACACTGCAACTGCAGACACATTTTATGCCAAGAATCCTTCTTTGAAGGAGGCTGCGGACATACGGCTGCTCTTCACAGAGTCACTGCAAGCAGCGGCGGCAGCAGCAGCAGCATCAGGGGGGAGTGAAGACAATTTGGGGGACGTTGACATCGACAGTGACAGTGACAGCTCTGGAGAGGAGCATAGCCCCACTCCCTACCAAGACTCCCCCGATGCCGAGACGTCAGATGAAGAATTCTACAGCAACTTCAACGCTTGAAGAGCGGCGAAGAGGGAACAGTCAATGGCCGAACACAGTCCCTCAGACATGGGTGAAGAGAGGGTGCCAGACTCTGCACCAACTTCACCCGATACGGACAATGTTGCCAGTGACCAACTTGTAAATATGCAATGTTTTGTTGTACTCAGTCCCCTTGTGATGGATGAGTGAATAATGTTATAATGTTATAAAGTGTCAATGTATATATTTCTGTAAATAAAGTTTGTTAAAATTACTTACTTTGTCCTCTTTTTTAAAACCCACTATGGGTATTTCCCCATTAAGATCCCCAGGGGCACGAGGTTCTGGTGGTGTGCATGAAGGGGTTTAGTCCGAGTGAGGAGTGCTCAAGTGTTGGAGGATGTGTAAGGCAGAGGAGGGTAAAAAAAAGTTAAAGTGTGAACCTCCAGCAGGGCAGGTGGTGCTGTGAAGAAGGCTGAATATGGATGCCGATGGGCGGACGATAAAGCACCGCAAACTCCACCACCTTTAAGTGTTACGAGGGCCATGAGAACATCCTCCACAGGAGGGTGGGTGGTGCTGCTGTGAATAAGGACGAATATGGATGCCGATTCAAATAGGGCTTTGCTTAGTGCTCGTAACACCAAAGCCAAATCCCACTCAGGCGCCAGTGCGCGTGATACCGGTCTGAGTCTTTGTACTCCTCGCAGAAAACGTTTCGTCAGGGGGTGACTGAACAACGTCCCTGCTCCGAAACCCACGTGACAAGATGATATGGCAGCCGCATATACCTTGATTGTATTGAAAGCCAAATTCCTGTCCAACAACAGCTGGAGGAATGACGGCACGTGAGGCAGGGGGAACGTAATGGGGTCCAGGCTTCTTTCTACACACCAACGCTGGAACGCCGCCCACTTGGCTGTGTAGGACGCTCTGTTAGACGCGGCCCTGGCTCCCTGAATGGTACGTATAACATCTTGAGAGAGACCCAACCCCTCTAAGTGTTCCCGTTCAGGAGCCATGCCCATAAGTGCTGGCCTATCACTGGGTGACTGGTGATCGCTCCCTCCACCTGCGAGAGAGCGTCCCCGCGCCACACAATTTCCCACGGCCTGCTTGATAGCGTACGCTGTAGGCATGGAAACCAGGAAGCGCCCGTGTGCTCCGGGGCAATTAGGATCACAGACAGCCGCTCCTCCTGCACTCGGTCCAGGAACCGGGGGATCAGCGGAACTGGTGGGAAAGCGTACAACAGTCCCCTGGGCCATGGACGATGTGCGAATGCGTGGTGGTCCCGCGCTGACAGGGAGAACCAGAGGGCGCATTGCACGTTCCTGCCCGTCATGGGTTTGTGCTTCACTGAGGATCTTTGTCATTCTCTGTGACAGGGAGGCAAACTGCAGTTATTACACTTTGCATTTTGAAATATGTGTAACTCTGTTCATATAATACCCACACTGCTCAAACTTTGTTACTTTTCCTAAAATTGGTATATTTATTTATTTATTTTGGGGCGTGGGGAATGAAGAGAAAAAAATATATGAGCATGTTATGAGCACGGGATTTTGACCCCTCATATAAACATATGCATAATGCTATACTTTGCGGCCACACGCCGTTGCCAAGCAACGCTTATTGTTTAGGTCCTTTGATAAGCAGGCAGTCAAATAATTAACTAGAACTAGCTAGATCTGATAGATTTGGACATAAACGCGAGTGAAGTATAACCAGACACGAGAGAGATCAGAGATCAGATCAGCTGCTGCTGACGGAGAACACGCAGCACTGTATGATCACAGCTCCGCCGCTGTGACGGACCGTTGAGCGGACCAAAATACACTAAGAGTAAGACCTAACACACTTAGCTAGTTAATCTACTCTGGAACAAGCTAAACTAGTTATAAATATATTTATATATAATATATTTACCTCCATGGGCCCTTATTTCGGAAGAATTATGTATTGAAGTCAATGTCGAGAGAAAGATTATCTTTCGTTCCCGTTTTAATTGTGCCATGAATTACATATGATTGTCAATTGAAAAGATAATGTTGCCGTAAAACTGAAGTAACACTTTTCTTTGTTTCATGTGCAGATAGCATGAAGCAGAAAACATCGCTGATGCTAATGTAGAGTTAGCATGTCTCCCTCGGGGGCATCCGGGCTTAAACGGTGTATTATAGAATGATCACACTGGTGTGTGACAGTACTCTTCAAAGGGTTCACGAAATATGACTACTACTCTTACTGTTTAACATCACTTACGCGACTCTGGGATTTGTAGTCTTTCTAGTTGTGTATTTTTCATAGTCTTATATTTCAACAGTTTTTCGACAAACTGTTACTTCTTTGACATTGACAAACATCATATGTGTAATTCATGGCACAATTCAACCGGGATCGAAAGATACGTTTTCTCTCGCCATTGACTTCAATACATAATTCTTCCGAAATAAGGTCCCATGTGTTCCACGGGAAAGGGAGGGACTTCGCCTCTCTATGTACCCAGAGGTGAGTCCGCTTGGACTTACTTTTTCTAAACCTCTCTAAAAAGGTCAAATTTCGCTTGTTTTGCATCAATCTTGATATAGGGTACTTATATGTTATAGTTTGGATTCCTAAAGGCTTTTGGCTACTATCCCATCATTCAAGGGTGGTTTTCACTATAAGTAATGTTTGTTTTTTTTAGACGGAAACGCTGGGTTACGTATTGTAACCCTTGTTATATTAACATAGGCGGAGCCCTCTACTGGACTCTATGGGTACTACCCTCTATGCAAGTATTCACCTACTGAGATTTCTATAGACGTAGCCGGCCTTGGGGCGGGCCTATCTGAAGGCGCGCGCATCTCACCGTATAAAAGGAGGCCTCGCCTCCTGACTATCATCCTACACCTCTCTTCAGCGAGCGATATAGGACAGACAGTGCCCTGAGTAGAGGGCTCCGCCTGTGTTAATATAACAAGGGTTACAATACGTAACCCAGCGTTATATCTCTCACAGGCTCCGCCCTCTACTGGACTCTATGGGTACAGTGGGTGGAGCCCTGATGTATACGGGCACTGTCGTCCAACAACATCATTCCACCCTACTGCCCCTGACCAGCATTTGTGGTCAGCAGCTGCTGCTCCACATTCTCCTTTAACCCGGTTGTGACTGTGGAGAAGTCTGGGCTGCGGCTGACAGAGCACACTCTGCTGCGCTTACCTCGCAGAAAGTGCGCTCACAAAACAGCGAATGGGGAATTTGTACGGTTAACATTGTGTGTAAGTGTAGCATTTGTGGAAACAAAAGACACTTAGATTTGGAGATCAACCTCATTCTTATCAGAAAACGTAGTGATCTGTGCATTATACAGGGAGGAGGCGGGATTCGCCCTCTCGTCCCGGGCGGAGAGATTTTCTCCCCCCGCCAGTCAGATCCGTGAAGCCCGTGTGCCGGCACGCCGGTTCCACGGGGTGGTGGAGGGCACCGCGCGCACGGGATCTCGCGCTGCGCTCCCTCGTCTGCAGGAAAGCCTGTGGAGGAGGAGCGCGCGCTGCGGTGACTCTTCTCTCTACTGAGATCTTTGAACGCACCGCGGCCCGCCTTGGGGGGAGGGGGGCCGCGCGCGCCGTCACAATGCCGTCTCTTTGAAATGGACATTATGGGGAAAAGTGGAATTGTGGAGAGAGATGACTCTTACTCTGGGATAAATGCAATCATTTTTACTGAATGCATTTTTCCCACACACATCACTCTAGAACTAGAGTTTACAAACGTAAACCACCGTTCTCCTGCGGAGGTCCCTGAACGCACCAGGGCCGCACGCCCACGAATTAACGCTGTATTTCCCATTCAACGGTGAAATGCATTAATCGGAGCTATTATACTAGGCAAGGTGTGTTTTCTGACAATAACATTGTTAGAACATTATGCCCTACTATAATTAAAACGTTTTCAGCAGAAGCTTTTATTTTGGTTCCCAGAATGTTCTTCTGAAAGGTAAGATAACGTTCTCTAAAAACATTCTTAAAATGTTTTTGATAACATTGTTAGAACATTATGCCCTACTGTTCTTAAAACATTTTCAGCTGCAAGTTAGATTTTTTATGTTGCCAGAATGTTATTATTTTAGCGAAGGATAACATGGTTTGTTAAAAAAAGTATGCAAATGTTCTGTGATAACAATTTACTAAAATATGTTTACATTATTAGAACATAAAGACATAATATTCCTGTAATTGTTCAACTCAAAATTCCTGGGTAAGTGGACTGACCACTGTGGTCATCAGGATGATTTTGATAGTTTACTTAACTATTGGAATTTGACTATTAACACATGTAAAAGGTTGACTCGGAATCAGCTGGTGAAAGTAACATTTGTTTATTAGAAAAGGGGAGCTGGGAGTGGAGGTTGGTTATGGCGGCAGTGGGAAACAGTTGTTCCAGGGTGGGTAGAGAGACCTGGCTGGTCTTGGGAGTGTGGAAGGCCTTGGATTCCTCCTGGGAGAGACACAAAAATTAGTGTGAGGCAAAAGCAGGCAAAGTTGTCAAAGAATATGCTGGTAAAAAGGTAGAGCGGCACGCAACAAACCGTTCACGGCAACAATCCGGCAGGGAATGAGTGCAGGCTGCAGGCTTTCATGGTGTGGCTGATGAGCAGGTTGCAGGTGTGGTTGATTGCTCCCAGCCGTGTAGAGCAGACCAGCAGGCAGGTGGTGGGGGGGGGGTGCACTAACAGGGGTTTCAGGGACGGGCAGTGATAGTCGGTCCATTCTTCTATATGTCTGTCTTTGGTTTTCTAAGTGTTATTCGATCCATATGACCATAGAGCAGTGTTTCTCAAACTTTTTCATACCAAGGACCACTTAACCAATAAAAAAACCCTCGCAGACCATCTAACTCCACAAATATCCAAAAACACATCGTCTTTCTAGAACAGATTACAAATCACCTGGAAATTGTACAAACAGGTGGCAACATGTGTGACGAAGGTGCATGTTGCGCTGGGCTATATTTTGCAATCGAAAGTGAAACGTAAGCTCACTTCATTGCAGAGATATTCCCGCGAGAGTGCGGAAAACTTACATTTATTTATTTATTTCAAATGTGAAATGTTACCAATATACTCACGGACCACTCGGGGGCGCTCACGGACCACACTTTGAGAAGCACTGCTAGAGTTTATATGTGCATAAACAACAAAAACACTTGGGGTATAATGTTCGAACAATGTTATCACCAAACATTTTAAGAATGTTTTTAGAGAACGTTATCCTACCTTTCAAAAGTACATTCTAGGAACCAAAATAAAACTTCTCAATGAAACCATTCCTCGAACAATGAAGGGTAACATTCTCAGAATGAACCAACGATGTCTAGCTGGGAACTCAGACATGCCTACGCAAACGTGTAATATCATGAATTAGGTGCTTGTTTTTTTCTAAAAACGAAAATGTGGTGACATCAGATTTCTTTTAAACATCCTTTTCAAACAAATGCAGCAAGTTTGTTAAACAAAAAAAAAACTATCCAAACGTTGCTTTCAAAATGTTCTTCTTTGGTTATCATGTAACATTGAGGGAATGTTTTATAAAGAACATCTTTAATGTGTTACCCAACAACGTCCAAAACACATCCTTAGAATGTTGCAGGCAAAACGTTCCACCTTTGCTGACTTATCACATTAAAGTAGTGGTTCTCAAAGTGGGGGACGAGAGACCAGGAGGAAAAATGGTTATTAAAAATGGTTATTAAAAAAAAAAAAAAAGATTAAAAAAACAAACAAACATATTTTGAACAATTATTGATTCGAAAATAATATGATACAGTACTATTACGTCTGGGTCTCTGTGTTTCATTAAAGCTTGGCTCTGTGGAACGAGCCATTTTGTGTGAGAGAGAGAGAGAGAGAGAGAGATTTTTTTTGATTTTTAAAAAAACACTTTTATTAAGAATTTCAACAATCAAACTAAATAATTCACTTATTCACATTGAGAGATACAAATTCCCTTTTTTTCTTTCCTTACACAAAGACAGAGTTAAAAGTGAGCTCCTCCCCCACCACAGAGCACACAGCTGTAGTGAAACACCACCGGGTTAAAAACTCTTCCATGTTTCTCATCAGACAGTGAAATCTAAAATCTACGCTCACTCGTGTCTTTACCAAAGATAAAAACATTTGATTGAGTTGCTGACCGGCTGTACTGTTTATTTTGTTTTTCCTGCTTTTGTAGATCGATATTTTTGCCTGCCCCACAATAAAATTCAACATTTCCCACTTCCCTGCATTCTGCTTCTTGTAGCCAGCACCACAAATAAAAGCAGTCTCTGTAAAAACCTCCCCACAGTCTAAAAACACAGTTTTTAAAACATTAAAAAGAGGCTTCAGCCTGTGGCAGTCCAGGTAGCAGTGAGTGATCGTCTCTCTGTGAGTGCAGAACGGACACTCGGAGGACACGGTGGGGTTTATCTTCGACACAAAGGCGTTAACGCCCAGGGCCCCGTGGAGGATCCTCCACTGCAGGTCTCCTGACCGCTTGTTCAGTGGAGGTTTGTAGAATAGCCTCCATACTGGTTCACAGGCCCCCGGGACGTTAAGCCTCTGTTTCCACACCGTGTCTCTCCTCTCGCTTAGCTTCCGTTTGTTCAGAGCCAGAGTGCAGAGTCTATAAAAACCTTTCCCATTAAGCATTTGGAAGTCTGCATGCAGTCTGTGTCTGAGTCCATCCTGGTCTGCTAAAAACCCAATGTCTGGAAAAGGGTCCCCTTCGTCAGGGGTTTCCTTCCTGTTGGAATACTCCCGCAGCATCTCCATCTCATCATCAGATAGCCTTTGAATCCACTCGTTCAGGATGGTTCTGGTGTGGCGGGCCGACTTCAGGCCTAGCAGAGAGGCCACGGCCTCGGTGTTGTGGAGTCCAGGACCTGCAGCATCCACGATGTTCCTCAGCCTCACGACCCCAATGGACTGAAGCCTCTCAGTGAGTGCAGGTCTGCTGCCGTCCTGGACGTCCAGCCGGGCCCCCCACACCAGAGGCTCTTCCAGGAGCCAGAACAGAGATGCTGTGGGACCCACTCTGGCCCATTTAAAACGTGTCCATACTTTAAAAAGTCCTTTGTAAAACGCAGGCAAAACACACACACGAGTAAAATCACAATTTGTTAAAAATAATGACGCATCCAAACCCAGGCCTGCTACCCCCCTTAAAATGGTGCTGACTACCGGCCCCCAGACGACATCATCGCTTCCTGTCAGGTATCTTTGTAAAAACTGTAGTTTAAAAGCAGCTGCTCGACTCTCCAGGTGCACCAACCTTTGCCCCCCTTCTTCCTTTGGCAGGTACAGCGTGCACTGAGGAACCCAGTGCAACTTATCCCAAAATAAATTTAAAATAATGCCTTGCAGCTTTTTTAAAAGACCAGCAGGGGGCTCCACACACTTTAGCTTATGCCAGAGGCTGGATGCTACCAGGTTGTTGATGACCAGCACCCTGCCTCTGTAGGACATGTGGGGAAGCAACCAGCGCCACTTGTTGAGTTTCCCCTCCACCTTTTCTAAAACTCCTTCCCAGTTCTTCTCCAGTGTGACCTCATCTCCAAGATGGACCCCCAGATATTTTAGACCAACCCTCTTCCATGTCAACCCACCTGGGAGTTGAGGGAGGCCACCAGTCCACTCCCCCACTGCTAGGGCCTCACTCTTAGCCCAGTTGACCTTTGCAGAGGAGATCTTTTGGAAAGTGTCCACTACCTGCCCTAGCTTTAAAACATCCTGTTGATTTTTTATAAAAACAATGATGTCGTCTGCATAGGCCGATAAAATAAAACGTGTATTAAAACCAGGTAAAACCAGGCCCTCGTTAAAAGTACGGATATTGTGTAGCATGGGTTCTACTGCCAGTGTGTACAACATGCCTGACATCGAACAGCCTTGTCTTATCCCCCTGGTCACATTAAAGGGTCTAGACAGACCGCCATTTATCTTAAGCACACTCTCAATGTTCACATACATCACCTTTATCTTGGCGATAAAGCCCGGGCTGAGGCCGAACCTCTCCAGCACCTTCCACAGGTAACGGTGCTCAACCCGGTCGAAAGCCTTTTCCTGGTCCAATGAAACCAGACCAGTGTCGAAACCCAAAGAACCAGAGACTTCCAAAATATCTCGAATTAGTGACACATTGTCAACAATTGACCTGCCGGGCACACAGTAGGTCTGGGTCCGGTCTACCACCTGGTCCATCACCTTCCTCAGCCTGGAGGACAGGGCCCTGGACAGCAGCTTGTAGTCGGTGCACAGCAGAGAGATGGGCCTCCAGTTCTTTATTTCCTGTAAGTCGCCTTTTTTCGGAAGGAGTGTTAAAACGGCTCTTCTGCAGCTCAGAGGGAGGAAAGAGTCATTAAAACTTTCATTAAAAAGGTCCATTAGATCCTCTTTTAAAAAGTCCCAAAATGTCTTGTAGAACTCTGGGGGGAGGCCATCTATTCCAGGGGCCTTCCCCCCCTGCATGCTCTTGAGTGCTGCACACAGTTCCTCCTCAGTCAGGGGCCCGTCCAGCTCTTTGTTCGTCTCCTCAGAGACTGTTGGTAGGCCCCTGCAGAACAGATTAAACCCTCCATCATCTTCATTGTACTCACTGGTGAAGAGGTCGCAGTAGAAGTCCACCGCTCTCTGCCGGATCTGGCTGTTCTCTGTCAGCTGCTATCCTCCTGCTGACCTCAGAGCGTGGATCAGCCTGCCCTGCCCGTTCTTCTTCTCCAGACTGAAGAAGTACTTTGTGGGTGAATCCATCATGGAAGCGCTCTGGAATCGGGACCGGACCAGCGCCCCCTGTGCTCTAGAACCCAGCAGGTCTGCCAAAATGGCTTTTTTAGATTTGAGGTCTTCAATACAACCTGGATTTCCTGTGGACTCTGCAAAGCTCTGCAGTTCCACTATTTCCGTCTCCAGATCTCTCATAGACTTGGTGATGTCACGAGAAACATTGAGAGTGTACTGAAGACAAAGCTGCTTGATGTCGGCTTTCCCACAATCCCACCACTGCTTCAAAGAGTTAAAATCCCCCTTCCTTTCTCTAAAACCTTTCCAAAAATAAATAAAAACCTCTCTAAAATGTGTATCTAAAAGCAGAGCAGTGTTAAAATGCCAATATGCAGATTTGCTTTGTATGTTGGCAATAAAAACATCGCACAACACAAGTGAGTGGTCAGAGAACCCAACAGGCAATATAGCACACTTTTTAAAAACATTCAAATGGTGCTTAAAACAATAAAACCTGTCCAGCCTAGCCATTGATAAAAGGTTCTCCCTCGTGTGGACCCATGTGTGCTGTCTGTGATGTGTGTGATGCTCTCTCCAGATGTCTGATAGACTATGTGTTGCTATTAACTTTGTCATGGCTCTTTTGGATGCAGCATGAGGTTCCCTAGGTTCCTATCTAGCTCGTCATCCTGTGTGCAGTTAAAATCTCCCCCTAAAAATAAAAACTCTTCTGGTTCACACTCACTTAAAACAGCGCTGAGCTCGTTTAAAAACTGAACTCTGGCAGGACCTGAATTAGGAGCGTATACGTTGATAAAAACCAGATTAAAAAGCTCGTAGTTGGCTCTCACCACCAGCAGTCTGCCCTTTATTCTTTCT